TTTACAATTCTATAAATCGATTGCAACTGATTCATACTACTGATATATTATTATTTTTATTTACACATGATTATATCTTCTTTAAGATATCACCAAAAAGTGTCAAATGTTAATATTTCCAACATATAACATTTATAGCGATATTTAGTTCTTGTAGTCAACTCCTTCTATAACTATTGGTCAATAACTCAATTTCTGAGGTATATTAAAAGAATATATTCATTTTTCTCAGAAAAAATTTTCATTATGCCTAAACATTGCTCTAATTGTGTATGATCACTTGAAAATAGACCGCACACAGAATATCATGGATCTAATGATACAGTTTTAAATAAAAAACGCTACGCAGAAAAAAGCAAGTCAAAATCACGTTTATCTAGTACTGAAACTTGCGATCGTAATAATAATGAAGGACATTTTTTGGTGATATCTTAACGAAGATATAATCAGTGTCAGTAAAAATAGTAATATGAATCAGTTACAACCGTCAGAATTGTAAACAAGTGTATAATGTATAAAAGTACAAGTGTATAAAAGTAATTCTAAAAAATTAAGAAATAAATAAGGCAAAGTGTCGGTTATTGATTTGCTTCACACTCGATGATATGCAATTTCAAAAACAAAAAAAATTGTTCGTTGAGAATTCAATGAGAATGTATAGTACTACTATACGGAAGAGTAAGTAGCCATACGCCGACGACCTGAGATGCGGCGTCAGGCGCAGCACACTCTTGCTGAGCGTGCTTCCGTACGACTACTCGTGCCGTATGCAACAATGACTTCATTTTTATCATTTAAAGTTGTTCTTTTTATACACCATTGACTTATAAGGAACCATACAGAAGTGTGACTCGCTTGGAATAATCAGTAATTGCAAGTTTTCAGCTAGTGCCATTTTTTACTATATTCAGTCCATTTTTGCAATGTTCCCATCACTGGTCGGATATATGATTGTTATTTTCTGTCATTTGGGATTCAAACATGATTTTCCAAGGTCCATTTACTTTTCTCTTGGGGCCAAAATCGACACTTTCTTAACATTCTCCTACAAAACGCATCAACAATAGTACTTCATGAGTGATGTGGAAATTTATTATCAAAATTCTAATAACAGTTTGGAAAGTATGATCCCAGTGTATTTTTCATATGCGAACGCTGCTAAAAACAAAGCTATCATGCGCGATTTGCGGCACGGGCGCCGAGTCGGAAGCGATAGCAAAGGGAAAATAAGCCGTTTCCGAAATTTGACCAAAGTGGGCATTTATTTCCCAGCACTGCTTTACGGCCTTGGCTACGACTGTTCGCTGGCAACCTGCTTCTACTACTCGGTACATAAGGAACATCGAAAACTTTAAATTTATTTTTCTCGCGAATGCTTGAGCGTTGTGTCGAGTAACTTTATCCTTCATTAGTGGAGGGAAGAGGTAATACTGTAACATATGTCATGCTCGTCGAAATTAGAGAACACTACTTCTGATCTTCACCTTGTAAATGGATCGGTGCGTATGTTATGGGAACATTTCATTTGTCCCGATTAAAAAAATTATTTTTTTGAAAATGTAAAACTAGTGAAACTAGTGGCACAAAATTCTTTTCTGCAAACATAAACATAATTTTTTTTACATTTTCGGCATAAAATTAAAAAGAATTAAAGTTTTACTACGTTTTCAATATCATCGCGAGTTCATGATCCTAAACACAACTATAAGGCAAGACTTATCAACGGCTAAAGACATATTCCAATTGATCTTGCCTTAATTGGCCGGATCAATGATCGGTCTTGCCTTCACTTTCAAGCCTCATAACTCGGAAAGTACTCAATGAAACGTAACTTTATTATAGTGTGTTGGAAAGCTCTCGAGATAAGCTACAAGAATATGTAATAAAAAAATAGGGGTTTCTTTTAAAAAAATACATTAATGACCTTGATCTGATTTTGCAACGTCATTCAAAGTCAAGTCCATATTTCCATCATGTATCCCCCTTCAAGCCATGCCACTTTCGTTCGAAAGATTTTTCAATAAAATCATCGATTCGCGAAATAATCGACCATATCACTTAAAATGAAACACTATGTATACAGGGTGTCCGGAATGTGATCATTAATATTTTGTGTACTGGTAGATTGGGTGTAGCCGAGAGGAAAAGTCATGTACCATAATGTCAAATTGGCAATAGTTATCGAGTTATTAATTGAAACATGTGAGCCAATGAGCGCGTAGAGAGCGCTGGGCGGCCGCCTCTTGTCGCTTGCACTCGCTCGCTCGTCGTTCGCGCTTGCTCGCTCCTCGTCGCGCGCGCACGCCTCTTGTCGCTTAAGGTTGCCTCTCGCCGCGCGAGGCCATCTTCTTATACACAGAGCTCGTCCTGTCGCTTTCTCGTGCGCTCATTCGTTTACACATTTTAATTAATTACGGAATAAATATTGAAAAAATTGTAAAATGGCACAGGGCTTTTTTAATTGTTTTGACGAGTTCTACCAGTACACAAAATATTAATGATCACATTCCGGACACCCTATATAGGGTGTCAAATTTTAATGTCCCCCCTCCCTATAACCCCCCAAATAACTCTTCAGTATTGAAGGTAAATTCAGTATTCAAAGAAAATGATCTGAATAAAAGTTGTAGGGATTTAAGTGAGCTATCTTATGATGACCTTGACTTTGACCTTGACCTCTATTTCAAGGTCATTTGAAGACTTGCGTTTTTTAAATAGGAATCTTTATTTTTTTATTACGCTGTTTTTTCTACTGGTTAATTTGAACAACTTTTGTCTAAAATATTTTTTATTTGTCTAATATTTTTTTAGATATTTGAGGAAAACTTGATATCTTTTTCAACATTTAACTTATGATATCTCGCTAATTATTTGTCGAAAGAAAAAGTGGTACTAGACTTTCTTGCTTTATTTAGTCTCAAGAATATATTGTTGCAATAGCGCCCGAATTTTTGTTAATTTGATGATTATGAAATTTCCAAAAATCAGTAAGTTAACAAAAGTCAAGGTGCTATTATAACAATATATTTTTGAGACTAAATAAAGCAAGAAAGTGTAGTACCACTTTTTCTTCCGACAAATAGTTAGGGAGATATCGTAAGTTAAATATTGAAAAAGTTATCAAGTTTTCCTCAAATATCTCAAAAAATATTAGACAAATAAAAAAATGTTTTAGACAAAAGTTATTCAAATTAACTAATAGAAAAAAACAGTATAATAAAAATAATGGTTCCTATTTAAAAAACGCAAGTTGACCTGAAGTTCAAATGACCTTGAAAATAGAGGTCAACGTCAAAGTCAATCTCATCATAAGGTAGCTTACTTAAATCCCTACAATTACTTTTATTGAGGTCATTTTCCTTGAAACTTCAATACTGAATAATTATTCGGGGTGGGACATTAAAATGGGACACCCTGTATAATACTTTGGGTTAGGAAATTCACTCTTACGCGGCTTATTTATCAGATCTCGTCCCGTCGGACTACCACCTATTTCAGTCGCTTTAACATTTGGCTGATGAGCACCTTAAAATAGTTAACGAAAAAATATCCGAAAAAATATCGATGAGTTTATCGAGTTAAAACCGTCAAGTTTCTCGCAAAGAAATTCGTCTGTTACCCGAAAGGTGGAATAAAGTAATCGAAAACAACGGAGGTTATTTCGAATATTAAGTGTGTACTTATCTGTGGATAAACTTTGAATTTCTTGAAAAAAAGCACGAAATTAATTCGTATAACATCTACTAAAGTCGTTTGACATCTAATAAAATTTTTGAACTTTTGATTTTCAATATCCTAGCTCCGAACAGCACTGCTCATTGCAAAATGCTTTGGAGAAATATTGCCAAACATTGACTGTATCGATTTTGTTAATATTTTCGCTTAAAAAATTACAGTATATTTGTTAAATAAAGCTTTTTCGAATATAAAAAGTGTTGTAAAGCAATAGATATACATTAAAAAAGAAGAAAATAAAAATGAAAATTCGCTTTCTTTTGACCTCGGGATATAACTTCTCAAATTTAAATAAAGAAGTAAAAATCATCAATTTTTACACTACTTGCAACATGCATACGAGTTCAAAAATCGACCACTATACTGCTCGATAGACTAACGATTTAGCTTCAAGAGTCCAATTTTGGAATACTGTATGATAATTTTTAACGTTGTTATGAACGAAGAAAGTCAAAATCGCCATTTTTAAGTCCTTGATAACTCGGTAAAAAGAAAACAGAACCAAAATTTAAGAAGACGATTTTATAGGGAAAACTTATTTTATTTTTATAGTGAAAGCGTTCACAAAATGGAGGTAAAAAATTCTTTTTGATTGCTTTTGTGTACATGACATGTTTAGAGAACAACAAAATATCCTATTTCGTAGATTTGACTGTTTTCTGTATGTATGTTAAAATTATTATAATTGAAGAAAATGCGAAACAGTTGCGACCTTTGGAAAATAGAGATTTCAAGTTTCAAAATACATTTCTCTGATTTAGAGAGGGATAGAAGGGATTTCCACTTACCTAAACAAAATTACAGCTGTTTGGAATTTGCTCATATCTTCAACCATTTTTTTAACCCTTGATTATTTATCTAAATGTATTTTATGCTGAAATGTATCGCAAGAGAATATTAAATATTTCAAAAAATTTTCATTTTTAAATGATCTTACTTCAATATTATTATTTGCGAAATGATCTGAAAAACCAATTTATGTTGAAATAAATCATATGATTTTGCTTGAAGAATTCAAAAAATTAACCTTAAAATAGCATTGATAAAGTATTTCAATATTATAATTCAATATTATAATAAAATAACTATCTTACAACTTATTTAAATTTTTATCATTTTTATTTAAACTATTTTCTCAAATAAAATACTTTTTTTAGTATATTAATCTGTAAAACATTTTGAACTATCTATAGATTATATTTTAGATACACGTAAAAATGAAGAAAAACACGATTAACTTATATTGTGCATTTTATATTTTATAGAGTTGTACGATGATTTCGTTGCGCCAACATTGAATTCCGATTTATACGCGGAAACATGGTTACATGGTCGAGGTAGATTACCATCGGATTGCATAAATGTAAGGTAAGGTCACGATTATTCTTTTTATGCAAAACTTATTTATCTTGTTTATTATATACAGAATATCCCATTTAACTTGAGACATCGAAATAACTCAAAAACAAAGAAGAAAAACAAAAATCGTTGAAATATGTGTTGAACGAATTCCGAGGACGGATAAAATGGTATGATTCCTTTTTAATTTGGTGGACGTCCTCAAGGTGATTTTAAGATCAACTTTGTTATTTCAAATGAAAACCTATATTTTTATGACAGAAGCATATTCTACGTAAAAAAACAATTAACTTTTGTCCGAAAATTTTTTTATTTGATTATTACTCTCGGAGATATCGTACGAAGTAATTCCGATTTTTATTCGAAACGAATAAAATAAACGTATCACAATAAATGCTTAAAATGATGGCCTTCCATTTCCATACTTGTTAATGCGATTAATAAAAGATCGATGCACTGATAATAAAGTCTCTGGACGGATATCGCGATAGGCATTTCGGATTCGTTCTTTCATGTTTTTCTGGTGTGATTGGTCGTGATCGTGATAAACTTTTCCTTTAAGATGGCCTCATAAATAAAATAATCTAACAGTGTTAAATCAGGCGACCTCGCCGGCCAGTTAATTGGACCTCCCCGACCTATTCAGCGACCAGGATATTTCTGATTCATTATTTGGCGTGCATAATGCGAATAGTGAGCTGGGTATCCGTCTTGCTGAAACTACTATTTATTTATATATTTATTTATATATTTATATATTTCTTCTATCTGCTACGCTTGCTTCTTCGTAATTCTACATCCAAAAAGTTTCCATATTTCACTCCATTCAGCGTACTATTGATGAAAAAAGGACCTATTATTTTATCGCCAATGATTCCACACCAAACATTGACAGACCATGGACGTTGATGTTCTACTTCGCGAAGCCATCTCGGATTTTAATCTGCTTAATAATGCATATTATGCCGATTAACTTCTCCATTATTGGTAAAAGTAGATTCATCAGAAAATAAAACCGAAATAATCAAAACATCTCAGCGGCGCGATCGCGCTTCTGTTGTTCAGTATAAACACGAAGTACGGAACACTTGTAAACATGAGATTTTCATATGATTGCGATTTTCTGATGAATCTGCTTTTACCAATAATGGAGAAGTTAATCGGCATAATATAATATTATTGGTCAGATCAGAATGTTTGGAAATGGAAGACCATCATCTTGAGCATTTATTGTGATAAGAGTAGACCGAGGCGAATCGGATCAATGTTTCTTTATCGGTAAAAAAGTTATTAAAAACGAATTCTGTTATTTAATTTTATTAGAAGTTTATTATCGTTAGACCTTTGGCTTGAGTTTTATATAATATAGTAATACATAAACATATTTTTTATTTCACAACGAAGAAATGAAGAGAAGGGAATTATCTGATTTGCCCCAAAATTGGAGGCGAAACGGATCATTAGTTTAGGTCTTAAAAAATGAAAATAATACAACTAATTCTTTGAAATTAACTAGTTAAACAAAAAAATAAAAAACTACTTTTAAAAATTAATAAACTTTTGGGAATAAACAACTTACATAAATAAAAATAAAAAACTACTCTTTACAAATTAACAAACACTTTATAATTAATTATATTAGAAAAAATATTTTATTCAGCACAGAATTCGCAAGTAAAATATTCTTTTTCACCTCTGCTATCAGCACAGTTTTCGTGGCACCATTCTTCACATTTGTTGCATTGAATCCAGTCTTCGATAGGTGGATGAACGAATTTTTCATTGCAATAGATGCAATGCCAGTCTCTAGATGAATTGTTTTTATTCTTAATATTAATTTCTGGTGTTGCCTTACCTTTTTTAATTGACTTTATGGAATAATCTTTATTTGATTAATTTTTTACTTTGTTCACTTTTTCTGTCTTACATTTTTTTTAAGCCCTGTTTTTATATGCCTTGTTTTCAGAAAATGTCAAATGTAAAATCGGCTTCTTGGCAACTTTACATTTTTTTGCAGGTATTTGTTTTTTAGGTGTTCGAAGTATATCTTTTAAAGTCGCAGTAGTTGCATCATTGCTAATAACATGATTATCAGTACTACTAGTTGAAGGCTGTGGATCGGTGATAAGATTGATTCGAGAGCCACTAGTTGAAGATACCTCTGTTGCAAAAATATTAATGTCATCATTTGAAATTATACATGGTACGAACTTGTGAAGTGGTATAGCATGAGGATTAAAAGGGTATATTCCAGCTTTCTCAAATCCCTTTGAAGCATTTTCAACAGAAGTAGATAAATTCCAGGTGTGTTTCAATAGACCTCTAAAACGATTTTGTTTATTCCTTTACCGTTATTATTATGTTGCCATCAAGTTGCTCGTTGAGGATAATAAGTTTTCAAAGGCTTGATAAAAGAAATATCAAGCGGCTGAAGTGCATGTGATGTGTGTGGTGGAAGGAGTACGAGTTCAATGTCGAATTTTTCACACAAATCTACTACTGCCAAGTTAGTGTGGAATACGTGACCATCTAAAATCAAATTTACTTTTCCTTTTGCACGGTATCGATTAAAATGAATTAACCACGCTTTAAAAGCTTCCTCAGTAACCCATCCTTTCTCTGTCATAAAAATTTCTGTTCCAGGAGGCATGTTTTTCATAAAATCATCTCGTTTATGTACACTTTTGAAAATAATAAATGGAGGTATGAAATGACCAGCTGCATTCATACATGCTATGACTATTACATTTTCGCCACGTTCAACGCTAGTCATGCTAATGACATCTCTACTTCCTTTCTATGCGATGATATGTGGAAGACAGTTGTTCAGTGGTAGACCAGTTTCAACCTGATTATATTGTATATACATTCTGGCCTTCTTTGCAAATTGTTATCATCAATAACTTTCTGTAACACTTCGTAAAAATCTTTAACTTTTTCTTCCTGCATGCTATTAATTCTTACTCTAGACAAACCCTCTGGCTTTCTAATAGCAATATTTTTATTTCGAAGCATAAATCTATGAAACCAGTCCTCTCCTGCCATCTTAATATCAGTATTAAAATTGTTTTAAATTATGGCGAACAGCAAAATGAAAAGCATATTTTCGCATGTTCTTCGGGGTAATACCAATTCCTCGATTAGCCAGATAAATTAAACGGTTAGCAAACTTCTTTTCAGTCACTATGTCCATAACAGGCTGTCCATCACAATGTTTAATAATGTTTCCGGTAAAAGCAAGTCGCCTCTGTAAAGTTGTATATGGAACCTCATAACAATCAGCAGCTTGACGCAAAGTCATTCCAGACTTTACCTTCTGTACAGCCTCATTTATCATTTCTTGAAACCATGATTTGTTAGTTGATTTACAATTATACAGGGTGAAGAAAAAACCACGGGACCCTTGAAAATTTCGAAAAATATACACTTTATAAAAAATGTTTCAGACAAAAGTTATAGCGTTGAAAAAGATCTATTTACCGATCTTAACAATTTGACTTTGGATGGCGTCATCAAGGTCAGCACAAAGTCACCTCGGATTTTTTAAATGGAACCCTCAATTTTTTATTACATATTCTTAGCCCTTATTCAGACCTTTTCAAAGCACTATAGCTTTATCCAATTTGAATAAGCTGTTCCGAAGTTATCGAGTTTTTTAAAGTAAGATATTTTGCCAACTAAGGCAAGATCGGAGGATGATCCAGCTAACTAAGGCAAGATCGGAGGATGATCCAGCCAACTAAGGCAAGATCGGAGGATGATCCAGCCAACTAAGGCAAGATCGGAGAATGATCCGGCCAACTAAGGCAAGATCGGAGGATGATCCAGTCAACTAAGGCAAGATCGTAGGCTGATCCGGCCAATTAAGGCAAGGTCGGGAGTTGTCCGGCCAACTAAGGCAATACTGGAAAGCTTTAAAGTAATTGTTCAAAATGTCCGCCATCAACAGTTTGACAATAAGCTAATCTATCGTAAAAAGATGAAACGGCTTTTTAAATGTAATCAGCAGAGATGAGAGCAACTTCATCAAGAATTCGATTTCATAAGTCATCCAAATTTTGTGGTTTCGTTTTGTAAACTCTATTTTAAATGACCCCACAGGAAGTAATCGTTAGGTGATAAATCGGGTGATCGAGAAGGCCATTCTATAGATCCTCTTCTACCTATCCATCGATGAGGAAACACTGTGTCCAGATAATTACGGACGTCCCTTCCGTAATGTGGGGGGGGGGGCACCATCTTGTTGGAACCATGTATTGATCAGTTGCTGTCTGTAGTAATGCCCATTGACAGTTTCGCCCGGTTTCAGCAGCTCATAGTACACGATTCCTTTTTGATCCCACCAAACGCAGAGCATTGTCTTCTTTCCGAAGCGATTTGGCCGTGCCGTCCATGTTGATGCTTCGCCAGGTGAAAGCCACGATTTTTTGCGTTTGAGAATCTCAAAATATATCTATTTCTCATCGCCAGTAACAATTCGATGCAGGAAACTCTTTCCTTCATGTCGCAAAAGCAAAATTTCGGAAGTGGCTCTTCGATTTTCCATCTGTCTCTCAGTCAACTCATGCGGCACCCATTTTCCTTCCTTTTGAATTTTTCCCATGGCATGTAGACGGAAATACCTTGGCGAGTTATGTTTAATGCCTCCGCAAGTTGATCTTGTGTTTGCGTATCATCTTCATCCAATAACGCTTGCAGATCGGCGTTCTCAATTGTTTTTGGTCTTCCGGAGAGCTCCTTGTCCTCAGTGTCGAAATCGCCATTTCTGAAGCGTTTAAACCAATCTTCACAGATAGTTTTCGATGTATGTTTCGGTGCATGTTCGACGTAGGCCTCCTCAAGCAAACGACGTGCTTCAGCTACACTTTTTTTCAAGTTAAAGCAGAAAAGCAAAGCTTCCCGCAAATGTTGTTTATTTGACACAAAACTCGACATCTTCGTTGTTAGAAAAAATATTTTTGCGTTGCGATATGTATTGGTATTACGACTGGTTATTGTTAACAGATGTC